AAACTCCTCGTGGTTAAACTTTTTAGGTGCACAAGGGCATTGCATGATGATTCCCTTGGACTCGGAGCCTAAGCCTGTCCCGATGACGGTGACCGGGATTGAAATGTTGAAAGAATTAGGTTCGTAGGTTAGGATATTTGGGGTAGTCTGCAAATTTATTTCCAGCAACGGGGCCAATGCCGACAAGCGCGGAAAACTTTTATTTTTTGCTTAGGATCCCCTTATCCGAGTCTAGTGCAAACGCTGTTTTCCCACCCCTGCTGTGGCCTGCAAGCGCAAGATTTTCTAGGTTGCTTCAACGTTATCCGGGAGTAGAGATTGCAGCCCCGATTGTAACCAATCTGCAACTTTTGCTGTAGACTCAACCTCTTCCATTCCACTAGGCGACATAAAAGTGTACATATGTAAAAACAAATCAACAACAGTAGAATTAAACAAGAGAGAGAATATAGTATATAGAGAAGGAAGATAAACCGTAACAGTAGAATTAAACCTCTCCCATTCCGTGAGAGTATATAGGTACCTGAGGAGCAACAATAATGAATCCATGGGAAGATATGTGGCGGAAGAGGTCAGTGTAGAAGTTGTTACGGAGATAGAAGCCGTGGAAGAACAATATGACAGGGTATGTGCCTTTCTCGGAAGGTGTGAAAATCAGCAACGGCTTGGTGGTGATTTTGAAGTTGATGAATCCACCGATTTGCTTGTTGGGTTATATTTTCCGGCGAGAAAAACCGGCATTGTTGCTGATAAAACAGGTTTCGTTTCCGATAGTTGTGCCATACCCTTAATCGCTATACCTGGTGCACCAAAACTGATGGAATAACTCGAACCAAAGAGAAAGAAAGAAAATACTTGATTGAATATGCAATGACTTAGCTTAACGAGTCTGTATTTATATTATAATCAGAAAATTGTATTCGGATTTGCTCGCACGGGTAAAAAACTTGTTCTCTTTACTTTTTGGTCACAGACACAAGTTTACTTTGTTTTGTTTTTATAATACTGAATATACCAAAAGTATTTAAAACATGAGGACCATACTGCCAGAGTGTTCCTTCACACTGGTGCGTGGTCATTAAATCTCAGCTGTCACTATTATTAATATCAATGAGCTTTTGAATTTGAAAACTGTTTTCAATTTATTACATTAAACCTTAGAAAATAAATAACATTAACACTTTGAAAACGATTGATAAATTGAGAGACACAAATTATTGAATAAGACGTTTTAATATCTTTTCCAGAAAGTTATATTTAAAAATCATTGATATTTTTTCCTTTTGATTTCTAATGCTCCGTCTTGATTACTTTAGACCGACTTAGGTAGCATATCTGATTTTGATGAGTAAATCTCTCAACAAAGATTTTCTGCATACATAAAGACTCGAACTTGAGACATGCTTAAACAATATCAAGTTACTTATCACTTGAACCAACCCGTTGATAGAATCATTTATATTTAAACCTTGTTTTCTTATGCAAGGAGCCATTAATTTTTTTTTTTTACAAAAAAAATCAAAATTATAAACTAAATAATTAAAATATTTTATAATATTAACATAATAAACTAATCACTTGGAATTATATAAAGTTCATATAAGGAAAAAGTTAAAAACTCGTATAAAAACTCGAAAAAAGATATATACGAACAAATATGATTGCATCAGGAAACAAATCACAACAGTAGATTAAACTACTAAAAGACCATAAACAATTGTGAATCAAAATTGAGCGTAGTGAGAAAACTATCTATGAGTGCAAATCGCTTATCAAATATTAATATGAATGTCTAAAGTAGAAAAGAACAACACGATAACAAATAAACATCATCTTAATTAATCAAGATGGTATCAATTTTAACTATGAAAAAGTTAAACAAAAATAACGATGTAATAATTGAAAATATGTCATAAAGACATATAGAAATATATTATAAAAACAAAATTATCAATAACTAAACAAATAAATAAATATACAATATAACAACTAAATAAGAAATGGAAATATCCAACGACCAATTCTAAGACTTATATTGTCGTCTGTCAAACAAAATGAAAAAGAAAAAGGAGTAATTATATAAAAAGAAAAAAAGAAGATAGAAACGACTTACCCATATTTTTAAACCTTATTAAAATGAAAAAAAATTGTATTAATAAATGTTAAATGATATAATAAGATATATTATATTTTTACTAAAAAGTAATATTATATTATTAAATGTTAATAAGAGACAATAATTTATTGAAGAACCTCAATAAGTAAAGAAAAAGTTATTTTTTTCTTGATGTCATAAATAATTGTATCTACATATGCATTTTTAATAATAAAAAATATTTTATTATAATTAATTTATACTATTAAAAGAATATAGAAGATAAAATAGATAGGAAAAATAAATACAGCCTTTATCAATTATGTGTTATCCGTAGAGACGTTGAACATGTTGGCGTTTTTATCAATAAAACATGGAGATAATGGCTGACAACTGTGTCTAGTCAATTAAATCCCACGTGTAAAATTCCCCCGTCGAACAAATCCAAGGGCGGCCAGAAAAATGTTATCTAGATAATAATCTTGCATTTATTTTTGGATTTATATATTCTTGGATTAGAGGGGAGGACAGGGCCGCTGCTAGAGTTTTAAGGTTAAAACTTAGAAGATCAAATATAGACAGAAAAAAAATAATGGTGAAATTCAGATATAATCTTTGAATGATTTAAAATTTTAAAATTAATTTTAATTATAGTTTAAGATATATATTATTTAGGTTAAAATTATTGTAAGGGTATTTGGATTTTTCTTATCAAATAATTATAATTTTTTAAAACATATATTATATTGTAATCATCTTAAATTAATAAAAAAATCTAAATTGTTGTAATGATTAAACGTTAGCTTTGGAGTCTAAGAGATAATCTTTTAATTTTTGTATGTTTTGAGCATCAAAATAATTGGATGAGTTTAGAGTGTACATCACACACACTACTAAATACATTATTAATGTGACACACTGATATATACTACTAACAAAATTGTCATTTTAAATAAATATGAAAAAAAATATAACGATATATCCACAATAAATATTTATTATTATTTAATTTAAATTTTAATATGAATATAATTAAATTATATTTTTATTAAAATTTATAATTATTTTAGGAATTTTTATTTGTTTTGATTGAAACACTTAGTTTATATAAATTTACATATTCATCCCATCAACAACCATCAAAACCAATCACTGACGTCGTCAAAAAATTGTGTTCTTCAACATATACTAGAAATAATACTTCAAAAACCAATATGAATCCTATTTCGATTACTCTCTCTGTCCCATAAAATATGTTAATTATTGACTTTTTGGTCAATTTTTTGAACTTTGACTAATTATTATTTAAAAGTTTTTATTGAAAAAAAATGTAAAAATATATTTTAAAAACATTCAATCAAATAGTTTTCAAATATATGTTTTATAAAAATTAATTATTTAAAATAATCATGGTCAAAATTTAAAATTTTATCTTTTAAAAAATTAATAAAGGACATATTTTATGAGACGGAGGCCGACTCTTGGAGTAAGACATGATGAAAGCATGAACTCAAAATGTAACCAAATCAGCATATAACAAGGAAAAGAGGTGGAATTGTTTTTGTTAAGGTGGTTAGTAATCATTTGTGAAGATTAATTTACAAATTAAAATCAGAATAAAATCAGTTTAGGATCAAAATTAGAAGAAGAAAAAACAGTTGAGACAACTTATCATTAATTTAGTTTGAAGAAAATGCTAATTTTAGTTTGAAGTAAATAGTAATAACAATGTTGGTCTTTTTGTTTTATTACTTAATCTCAGAAAAGAAAGTATTATCGATATATATATATATATATATATATATATATATCATTATTTCGGTAGAAAATTGCACTTGCAGTCGTAGAACATCCAAAATTTGAAAACAAGATAACAATTTATGTCATAAATTGTATGATTATAGCAACCTTCGGAGGCTTGATGTTCGGACATGACATTGGCATTTCAATTTTTTCTTTACTTTTGAATATATGTTTGAATATTCATTTTGTGTATAAAAAAAATTGTGCTGACAAATGATTTGCTTTGTAACATCTATGGATGATTTTTTGAAAAAAATTCTTTTCGGCGTTTATAGAGAGAAACGTGTTCTTGAAAATAAATACCTAAATATGATAATATGTTGAAGAACATGATTTTTCGACGATGAAAAGAGTTGTTAACAATTGGTTTAAATAGTTGTTGTTTGAATGAATATGTAAACTTATATAAATTAAGTGTTTAAATCCTAAATAAATAAAAAATATTAAAATAACTATAATTTTAAAAATATATATAATTTATTTATATTCATATTAAAATTTAAACTAAATAATAATAATTAATTAATTGTGGATAGATCATTATATTTTTTTTCATTTTACTTAATAAGGATAATTTTCTTAGTGAGGTACATCACGTGTGTCACATTAGTAATATGTTTCGGTGTGCGACGTACGTTCTAGAATTTTCTCACAATAACTACATTAAAATAATGTCATCTTAGTGTGGTGCTCAGTTGATAGTCGTTGGTTACATTATTATGCTATTAATGATTTAGAATGATTTAGCGATTCAACGATATAAATAAAACGAAAATCAAATTTTAGTGTTATAATTGACAAAATTAAAAAATTAATAATATAAACTATACAATATAAAAAATTCAATGAACGCTCTACCATTGTATAGATTATGAAGTTATAATTAGGCGCGGAAGTAGGGTTTTATGTTAGAGAATAAACTTATAATATTTTAAAAGAGGACGGGCTTAAAAATATATTTTAGGGGTGACAATAAATTATTAATAAAAAATATTTAAAATATTAAAATTTACATATAAATGACCGTCTCATACTGGACCTCTCGGTTCATCACTGGTTATAATAGAACAGTAGTTGTGCAGTATATTCTTAGATGAGCTAATTACTCCAAATTCTTGCCTCCAAGAGGCCAAGGAGTTAAGCTTTGTCGCCGGGGCTTCCTTTCAGCAGCAATTGACAGTAGCCTCGAGACGCCTCTAGTCCACAGATGGTATTCTTTTTGACTCCTGCACTCAAACTCTACCACCCCTCTTGTTTCGGTCTTCAATCCAAAGTAAAGTCGCTGTTCTCCGTCGTCGAATAAATGTCTTCCTGGCCATGCCGGCATGTCCTTGCACACCTCCAAAACCACATCTGAAAGCTCCACTCAAATTATTATTATTATTATTATTTCATGATAATCCCAAGTTTCTTATACCAACATTGGCAATCTTGGGATACCATGTACAATGAACTTACTCTTGTTCTTTTGGTGAAAGTCCCAGCAATATGCTTGCTCTTCATCTTCAATATCACCTTCAGAAGTTAAATGGATGGTATTATTTTAGTTTAATGTCAAATTATAGTTTTGGTCCCTCTACCATGCTTAAATTTGAGATGTAATCCTAGTTTAATTGTGGAAAGGAAAGTGGAAACATTCGTTATGTGTTAAGGGACTAAAGCAATGAGTACCTGGCCTGCTTTATCCACGTAAACCGAGACAACTTTCCAGTGCAAGTCGCCTGCATATAAACAAAATGTAAGTAATGTTTACGATTGAATGCGGTTACGAAAAAACAATTAATGAACAAACTCAGATACCTTTCCGTGTTCTTTTGAGAAGTTCACCACCCTTGGCAATTAGCTCTTGATTACAGGCACTAAGGAAATCCTCTCCGGGGTCAAGTTCACCGCTATAGTTGCCGTTTGAATGCCCGTTATTGCTCTTAGCAAAGCTTATTCCTTTCTCCGCCGGAAGAACTGCCGTAACGTTCCTTACTTCCTTTAGTGCTCTTGCCTTTAAGGTCGTTGCCCCACGTAAAGCTACAAAAGAAAATGTCTCCGTTAATGAAGGTTCTTGAGAATCAAGTGGATGGAATACTCTCTTTACCTGTAGCTGCAGCAGCTGTAAGAGTCACTATATCATCGGGTGAACGAACATTAACAGCAGAGCTCACAACTGAAGCAAGATGGTCACTTTCGGCTCCCATTGCTTCGGCAGCCTCCACGCATTGCGCAGCTACTAATGTTAATGCCGATGCCACCGCCATGTCAGTCTTCGTTGACTGTTCATTTTTTCCCGAGGTGGAAGAAGAAGCCGCTGCAATGGCTGCTATGGCGGAGGCAACTGCTGCGACTGATATAGCAGCGTGGATCTGTGCATTGTGAGCTCTGGTTTCTTCTTTCTTTTTCTCTTTCCTTTCCTTTAACCATCTGCCTACTGACTTTCCCCCATTGGGTGTATTCGAGCCATTACCAGCACTTGCGCGACCGCCTCCATTGAATAAAGGTTGTATGGAGTTGTGGGTACGGAAATACTGCAACAATCGTAAATTACAAAGCCATTTTTTTTAAATATGGGTCTGAACTTATACAGCACTTATGGTTTTAATGAGAATTTTTTCTTTCATTTCTATAGTACCGATTATTTGATAATATACCTTGACGACATCGTCGAATTCCTCGGATGGAGAAACTGGAGGGCTATTATTATCATTAACCAGAGGTTCGCTGCTGTGAGAGAGCCTCCCCGGAGTTAAAGGTGACACTTCCTACATACAAATTATAAACCATTAAAAACAATGATCAAAGCGCACATGCAAGAGCTTGAGTTTCCGACACTTATTTGAACACAAAACTAAAGTTAAAATCACTTATTTACCGATTGTGACAAGATGCGTTCAAGAACGAGCTGTGACGTAGAAGTAGCAGAAGAAGTGAAAGAGAACTGATTGGAAACAGCGGTTGTTTTATCGAGCTCGTCGGTTTCGGCGTTTACTTCTTCGGGTATAGAAGTGGTGGTGCAAGAAGAGCTGCTGGTAGACTTGGGAGTAGGAGTGATATTAGTGAGTGAATGGTGATGTTGAGAGGCAACGGCATTGGAGACTTGGAGAGCTGAAGCACTCCATGACCTTGAAAGGAACTCCATTGGACCTCTTGGGCTCTCTGGAAGCTGCGTTCCAGAGAAGGAATGGTGGGACATGCGCTCCGGCCGACGACGGATCCTTGGACTTGCCGCTTCCATGAAGTTGAAAAGTGCAAAACTGGGAATCAGCTTCGTCTGTGTGTGCGTTCATATAGATGTCATCTATCGATTAAGTGGTGTCTTTGTAATTTTTAAAAGTTAATAATTAAAACAATCATTTAGCGATATTTTATATTTTATCCTAAATTATATTAAATTCAAATTAACATGATACAATCCTCACAAAGTAGATAAAATAATATTCTTGAAACTTGAAGCTTAATTTAAGTTATAAATATAATTTAATCTTAATATTATAATTGAAATTTGAGATTTAAAAATATTTTTTTTTATTTAACATAATTTGTTTTATATATTTTTATAAGATTATTAGTATATTAGTAACACAACTAATTTATTATTGTTAAAGTGATAACATAAAATTTATTTTATTAATATTCGACCTCGCTAAAAAAACTCCACAATATCACTTTATGAAATAATTAATGATGGTAGGGTTGGCCCTATTAACATCATTATAAAAGTAAAAGACTAAACTAGACCAAATTGAAGTAAAAGGATTAAACTCTAATATCAATGTAGTAAAAGGACTAGAAACACAATTAGACAAGACCCTTAATTTTATATAAAAATTTTAGTTCAACAAAATCAAGATTATAATTTTTTTTGAATAATGAAATAAGGTGAAATACATGAATTGCAGCAATCCATATGCGTTTGAATCAATGGAAATAGCATCAAAGAGTGTGCTGTTCCATGCAGGGCTGACAATGTTGCATGAGATTGGTAACGGTGGAGGTGACCGAAGAGAATTGTGTTGTATCAACCATGGCTGTCTTAAGGTGTAGTTAATGTCCAAAGCCGACAGGGCATTTGAGATGTCCAGATGAAACGACAAGAAAAAAGTTCAAGCCTTGAAGTTGAACCAGTTTTCTGGCACAAAGCAACTGCGGAGAAGAAGGACCAAACTAAAAACTGCGCGTGCCTGGAAACGTCGTCATCTCTCCTTTTTGATATTCCCTCTTTCTCTTTTGGTTTGGCTACGTGACCACAGATGAAAGAGCCACACCTTTTGCTTCAATCATCTATACAAGCATCAGTATTCATTCCTCTTCAAGTTTCAACATAGTTCCTTCCCTTCCCTTCCATGTTACCCTTATTTATGTTTTTAAAACATTTTACAATGTTCAAATATTCCCAGTTGTATTTTAGGAGTGTAAAAGAGTCGAGCTTGAACTAACAAGGTTATGTTCGTATTCGTTGTTTATTTTTAAATGTGTTGTATTTTAGGAGTGTAAATGAATTAAGTTTGAACGAATAAGGTTATGTTCGTATTCGTTGTTTATTTTTAAAGGTGTTCAAATCCCAGTTGTATTTTAGGAGTGTAAATGATTCGGGCTTGAACGAATAAGGTTATGTTTGTATTCGTTGTTTATTTTTAAAGGTGTTCATGTTTGGTTCGTGTTTGTTTGAATTTTTAATATCATGTTCGTATTTATTTATTTATTTTTGAATTTTGAAGGTGTTCATTCGTTCAGCATTCCTGAACATGTTCATTTAATGTTTGATTAAATGTTCGTAAACACGTTCATTTGCAATCTAAAAATGGTAAAATTACATTACTAGTACTTAAATTCCTTAAGCTTCATAGTTTAAACTCCAAATTTCACCATGTGTACAATTTAGTCCCTATATTCACCAATATTTAAAATATAAAAAATAAAAAAGTAAATGAGCTTATAAACGGGCCATTAAACGAGTTCGTTTATGAACATAAACGAACGGATCGATAAATGAGCTTATAAATGAACTTGTTTGTGAACATAAATGAATCTAACACACATATGTTTGTGTTCACTCATTAATTAAATAAACATATTTTTTTTGTTCATACTCATTTATTTAGTGTAACAAACGAACGTTACACGAACAGTTCATGAATAGTTCACCGACCGCTCTATTCATTTACACACCATGGGTGGTAGCCTAATCTCTATTGTTTTATTTATGCAACATATGATCTTGTATCACTATATACATGATGGATCAAAGGAGGGTGTTAGGTGGTCACCCTCTTCAAAACTAAAAAATTATTATTCAATCTAAATATAACTCTGATTACTATTTAATATTATGTAATTTCAATATATTATTTAGTATAAGATTAATATTTATTTTGGTATTTGAATTTGACTTCAAGTTTTAGTCTGACACTTAAATTTCTTTGATCCAGTTAAACAATTGAACTTAACTTTTTGGCTTGAATTGGTACTTAAATTTGACCCTCTGATTTAAAGATATACTTGAATTATATCTCACGGTTTAAATTAGTTAAAAGGCATATGTACCTATTTGATTTAACTGAAATAAAAGGTTCAAATGTTGTAGATTTTGAAGGATTCTAAGCACCATCTGAAATATTTCGAGTAGAGAAGGATGCGAAAAACAACATAGTTTGAGCTCGGATTGATCCAACAATGAGTGTAAGAAATCACAAAGTTGAGATGTTCGACCTTTGAGACTATATAGTGTTAAAATTGTTTAAGAACTTAAAGATAGAGAGAGTTAGAGAACTTTCATATTAAAGTGTGAAAAAAAAACAATGAGAAGATATAAGAAGGGGGGGAAGTTAATAAATAAAAATATTTGTAATATTAAATTTAGTTCTTTTATATGATTAAAAATATCACGTTAGTGCTTTTGTTATAATAAAATTATCGACTTATTAACCAGATTAAATAATTAAAAATATATTATTTTCTTTGAAGGTCTTGAGTTCAAATAGTTATTAGTTGGCAAATTTTTAAGGAATATTAATGGTTAAATTGTTTGGGTAATAAAAGAATAGTTTAGCCTGTTTAGGAGTATTTTCGATAATATATATATATATATATATATATATATATATATATATATATATATATATATATATAAAAAAAATAATTAAAGGAGAAACTGTTAACTAAAGTTTTTTTGGATAAACTACATATTCAGGATCTAAACTATTACTTTTATTATGTTTTAGTACCTAAATTTTATTTTATTTCAAAATCATATTTAATGTTTAGTTTATGTTTTATTTTGATATTTTGTCGTTAGAAAACTTAGCGGTGATATTGATGTGTCACTATAAAGTAATGCCACATCATTTTTGGAAAAAAAAATTACATAAACAGTTCTGTTAATTTTTTAACGGTGGGTACCAAATTGAAATCTAAATTAAACGTTAGATATGATTTCAAAATAACTAAATTTTAGGTATCAAAACATAACAAAATTTAATAGTTTAATACAAAATTTGTAGTTTACTCTTTTTTTTAAAAAAAAAAAAGAGAGTATGAGACATCTAGCAAAGTTAATCCGGAAGTAAACGAAAAGAGCAAAGTTTGATAGATGAAGTGTACGGTTTCCCTGAGGTCGATACTTCTTTTTTTTACTTCCTCGTGCTGAGACAGTGAAACCCATCTCATGTTAATCCGTTACAGAAACTAGCCAAATAAGACAGTTGGAAGAATTCCGGTATTCTAGTAGCCTTATGCGATGGCTCCTTTCAAGAAAACGAAGAAATCATCCAAGAAATTGAAGAAAAACAAAAGCGTGTGCGTTGTTCCAGTGGAACCCAGAGTTAACGAGCCCGATTGGTGGGTTAGTTTCTGGCACAAGAACTCTACAACTCCAGGTTCAAACTTTCAACTTATATATATTTTCCCAATTTCATTGCATTGTTTTAGATAGATTTAAGATCATTAAAGTAATGGGTCTTCAATTCTTAATACCCAGAGCTAGATTGCTTACTTTAACATGGTTAATTGTGAGATTTAAGCTGAACTGCGCAACGTATTTTCAGCTTGAATAACCGCATTGCTTTGCCCTTTATATTAAGCAGACAAATGGGTTTTAAGATCTGAAATTTAGGAATTATATTTGAGCAATTGTGAAAAGTATTTCTTTTGGTATTTGATTTTCTCTCAATGAGAAATGAAACGTTTTTGGGTTGATCTCATTGAAATTGAGTCCCAATTGGCAGGTCTTTTGATACCATCAAATGAGGAGGAAGGGTTCAAGTATTTCTTCAGGGTTGCGAAGATGACATTTGATTACATTTGTTCCCTTGTGAGAGAAGACCTTGTGTCAAGGCCACCATCAGGCCTCATCAACATTGAGGGAAGGCTTCTAACTGTTGAGAAACAGGTTGCAATTGCCCTCAGAAGGTTAGCATCCGGCGAGTCTCAGGTATCAGTTGGAGCTTCCTTTGGTGTCGGCCAATCTACAGTTTCTCAGGTGACTTGGAGATTCATTGAAGCATTAGAAGAACGTGCCAAGCACCATCTTAAGTGGCCCGATTCCAATAGAATGGAGGAAATTAAATCGAAATTCGAAGCTTTATATGGTTTGCCTAATTGTTGTGGAGCTATAGATGCAACACATATAATCATGACTCTTCCAGCTGTTGAGACTTCAGATGATTGGTGTGACCAAGAGAGCAATTACAGTATGTTCTTGCAGGGAATTGTTGACCATGAGATGCGATTTCTCGATATCGTAACAGGTTGGCCTGGTGGCATGAGTGTGTCTAGATTACTCAAATGTTCAGGATTTTTCAGGCTTTGTGAGGCTGGGGATCGTTTGAATGGAAGTATAAGGACTTTATCAGGACTAGAAATGAGAGAATTCATAGTTGGCGGCGGCGCATATCCTCTGCTTCCCTGGCTCATAACACCATATGAAAGTAATGATCTCTCTTCCTCCAAGTCTACTAATTTTAATGCAAGGCATGAAGTTGCGAGGTTGCTTGCAGTGAGGGCTTTCTTGCAGTTAAAGGGCAGTTGGAGAATTCTTAACAAAGTCATGTGGAGACCAGATAAGCGGAAATTGCCGAGTATCATTTTGGTTTGTTGTTTACTTCATAATATCATCATTGACAATGGAGATCAGTTGCATCCCGATGTTCCCTTATCTGGTCACCATGACTCGGGATATGGAGAGCAATGTCGTAAGCAGGTTGATCCAATAGGTGAAACCATGCGGGAAAACATAGCAAAATACTTGGT